CAACCTCCGCCTCCTGGGTTCAGGCAATTCTCCTGCCTCAGCCTCCTGAGTAGCTGGGATTACAGGCACGCGCCACCATGCCCAGCTAATTTTTTGTAGTTTTAGTAGAGATGGGGTTTCACCATGTTGACCAGGATGGTCTCGATCTCTTGACCTCGTGATCCACCCTCCTCGGCCTCCCAAAGTGCTGGGATTACAGGCGTGAGCCACTGCGCCCGGCCTCACAGGTTTTTTTAAAGGGTGTACTAGTCATATATATTTCTGCATAAAGCAAACAGATATTTTAAAGGGTGTACTAAAACCTAGCCACTGGTCTCATTCTTTTGTTACATATATTTTCTGTATTTCAACAAATTCAACAAATTTTAAGACACACCATTGTATTACATTCCACCAAGGAAGAAAAACTGCCAATGTAACTGTGATATTCCCCTAGATGTAAGGTGCCTTCTTACTTCAGGAGAGCTGAAATGAAGAGAAAAATTTCCTTAGACTTGATTAAATATGGTATCAGTAACTTCCATTGACTTTATAAGATTATTACTGTATATATATTTCTATATTACAGAAGTGCTTAGACCTCTGAAGTAGATCTGCTCTAACGCGTTGGTTCTCTTAGAATTTAAGAAAACATATGACAGATGTCCTTTTATTAAAGTCATCTTTATGAGTATATGCACACTGGAATGTATTGGACCTCTCAATACCAAATAACGAGAAAAGATTTCTGCCTTCTGATTCCCTTACTTCATGTGCTCTGTAATCAGTTCTCCATGACTGACATGTTTTCCCCAATACCAGATATTTGGTGGCCCCTACTAAATCAGTACTCAGTGTTCCCTCTGCTGGCTTTGCAGTACATGAAGTCGTTCTTAATGCTACTCTTTTTGCTGCATTAAGAGAAAGCCAAGATAATGTTGCAGGAAAAAAAAATCCTGGTTTAGAATAATAAACTCTCTTTATTAGCAATGATATTAGAGATTTCACATTTTGAATTATTTTATTTCATTCCCTGAAATAATGGAATTCCATCTGAGATGTAAGTGTAATATCTGCTAATGCATTTCTTCTGCTCTCGCACACATACACAACATAACATCTCACATCCATACAATGGTATGGACCATAGATGAAATGAGATTCTATCCCACTGCTTAATATATTCCTTTGGCGTGGAGGGAGGGACCTGAATGGAAATTAGTTTAACAAATCTGGATTTGCACTGATTTGCAAGATTTTGCCTTGCCTTGGTTATAGAAACCATGATTGTAGGAGCTAGTCAGACCTGACAAATATTCAGTTCAAATAAAATAAAGAGGTGGAAAAACCGTATAGTTGTTACTTTAGCTGACAAGGAAGAAGCCCTGGGAAATCTGATGTCATTGGCCTTTGGCAACTGAAAGGCGCCAGTTTTTTTGGTTCCACACTTCATGAAAAAGAAGCCTCCATACGAGGCTGATTTAGTTCTCAGTCAAGTAGACAAATAGAACTTGCCCTTCATCCTTTTGGGCTGATGAAATTGGATTGTAACTGGGCTCAAAATCTTGCAAATCAGTGCAAATCCAGAATGGGGGTGGGGCGGGGGTTGGGGGGCGTGCATTGAAAAATAACATGGAAATAATTCATATTTGCAAAATATCAAAACAGGATTCTGGGGTAAAAGAAACCTAGGATTTATCTCTACCCCTAGAACAAGCTAAGAATCGGGAAACCTGCATTTCTAACCGTTTTCCTCTCACAACCAGTGACTAGCACACAGTAGGCTTACGTTAAGCTGTTCATGCCACTGCCAACTCATTATTCCTTTCCTCTCGATTTTCTCATGTTGCAGGGCCACGTAGATTGAAAGCATGAATACAGGCTTCGAGCAAGGCAGAGGCCCGGCACCCGGGGACAGAGCCCAGGTTTGCCTGCAGCCAGCCGGCTCCCAATCTGCGGAGAAGCAGCCGCCAGGTGGCATCGCTGAGCCTCCCTGCACCCGCGAGGCGAGGTGGGAAATCGTGGGGGGAGTCAGACTTCTTTGCTCTCCCCGCTTCCTCCTCTCCCGAACCCCTACCACTCCCTAGCACTGTACCTTTTCTTTAGTTAGAGGCTTAAACGCTCAATGAGTAATAGGGTATGTCGATGAATTCTGATCTTTTTTCATAAACCAAAATTCAGGGCAACCAGCCGCTGCCTCCTGCTCCCTTGTCTGGAGCTCCGGGTGACTTGGGGACGCCTAGACCAGCCTCCTGTCTGGACCAGGTAACCCACCTTGGGGGAATCATCAATTTCCGTGCCCCTGTCTTCTTGCTGAAGTGAATGCAGTTTCTCCAGCTTCGGAGAGCGGCTGCAGAGAAACGGCACACCTTACTTAAGGACGCTAGTGCAAAGGCCACCCC